AAGCCTGCTAGTACCAAACTTCAACCATAATCTGGGTGCGTGCCCACACCGCACGTTTTCCTTTGAACATGACCGGTATGTGAATACATGCGATGACTATCAGGGTTTCAGCGAAACGGCTTAATGATCACCAGAGGAAAATATGAAATCGTATCAGTAAAGTTTTACAATAGGTCCCGTTAAAAAAGTGAAAAGTAATTTGGGTTTCAAAGCGCGATTAGTTCAGCTCTCCTTCCAATACACTCCGAACAATCTATTATATTATGTTTCAGCCAACATAAAGGCAAACAAAGTCGAAAACAGTCCGTTATAGTTGGAGCTTAACAACTCTTCATAAAGTGCATGGAATATTAGGCCAGAATAAGGAAAGATTTTTGAAGTTTAAACTAGCGCGTATGAAAATTCGCTATAATGAAGATAACTCACTTGGAAAACTCTGCACCATGATGGAGAACGATAGCCATGACAATGCTTCGTACGTATAATTGGGACACGAAACGAAGTTGAAAAGCAAGCTCAGTGGATTTCCATCTGGACGGGGAATACGGCGTTCACGAGTTCCGGGAGGACGAAGATTGCGGAGTAAAATATGAATGGAGAGATTTCCTAAAAGTACCATAAAGTTTACCGCAGAATGAAAAGATATTGATAACTGATCGGGGAACAATCGGTTGGTAAACCTGCACGCTAGATAGTTATCCTCATCAAAATGGAATTGATTATTTGAAAGGCTCACCGAATTCAGAAATGGCAAATCCTACAAGACCGAAGTACACTTGCTTGTCGCCAAAGTACGGAGGAGTATACGCAGGATGGTTGACAAAGTAAGCAATAAAGCCAGCAAATCCCCAGTAGTATGAACAGTTCTGAAATAAAGGCGTCTCAAGTTTGAAACTGCGAACATGTTCATAATTAAGGGAAAATTATGTATCCTTTTGTAGAAATATATTAGCATGTCAATTTAGAAAATAGGTATTTCTGTGAGTTTCTTTGAAAAGTCGAAGACGCCCCAGACGTGATTCACTACCAAATAGCAAACCTGCATTTTGAAGCAATAAAGCAGCATTACAGATTATCATTTCAGAACTATTTCCACGGAAGACTTCACGAAGCACTGTCCAGGGAACAATCCGAAATCATCAAAACGTAACAGACCTTCACAAGATTGAATCTGGGCATGGTTCCATTACTAAAGCGGTGAATAAACTGTGTCTCGAATAAGCGTTTGGCGTAATGGATCGACCAACAGATGAATGCGCAGGTTACAGCGAAGTGATAAGGTTCTCTTGATGAACCTGAAAACAAGAGATGAGTTTTTGTCAAGATCACACTGACTGGAATTAAAAGCAACCGAAAAAGAACGCTCCATTCAACAAATTTTAAGCAATGCACATGACTGAGAAACTGATACCTTCTCCATAAATGAAGTCCGGACGGAAGTAAAACAACGGATAAATGAACAGTGGTCCAGCATATTCGAGTAGAAACACCTGAAAAGTTCCTCAATATATGCGCCGTCACTTATCCTTATCTTTACACAACATTTAGAGGAAGACCGAGGTCCACGTGAGATTCAACATCTCTAAGCAAGAATTTCGTGAACAACTCAACTTTATGAGTAATAACATGGGGAAACGATGAAATTAAGAAGCATAGCAACAAAGAAAGCGATAAATAAAAACAAACAAAGGAAAAGGGGGCGACTAATCTATTAATGGATAGATAACATCCTTCATATTTTATTGGAAAAATTATATAAATTGGAATAAAAAGTTCTTACGGTTTTGATTTTTTAGAATTTTACTAAGCTCTCACCTTGCTCAACTGTCGGAGACCTGATTTTTACATTTCGAACAGCAGTAAAAAAAACAAGGCGAGAAGTGAGAAATTCCGATGAAGAACTGAGAATAACCTAATGCCTCCGCGTGCTGCACGCGGTGAAGAACGCGTTGCCTCTGTGTGGCCGCGAGCTTCCCATGATGCAGCACCCTTTTTAAGGATGCGTTTGATATTTCCCCATACTAACTCTAAGAGAATATGTTCCGATGGAGAAACACAACACAACGCGGGACAGCGCAACTGAAAAAATCCAAAATGGATCTTGCTGTGACAAACAACATTCGGGACCCTCTTATTCCTGTTGGTTGTAGTAGAAAAGAAAGCTTGCTCGATATAATCGACCTCTTGGAACAATAGAAATGGATCACATATTTTATTACTTATTTTCTTAAGGTAAACCATTGTCAGTTCCTAGCATTCTTTTGATTA